GTCTGATGTGGTCGATAATAATATGTGTGAGACTTTTAATGCATGGATTTTGGGTGCAAGATGCAAGGCCATTATTTCAATGTTTAGGACTTTAATTGACCAGCTCATGGAGAGATTTAAAGACAAAAAGCTGTTTGTTGATACATGGGCAACTAATATTGCACCTAGAGTTTTGAAGAAGATCAATGATAATAATAACCTGTCAATGAAATGCAATGTGAGGTGGAATGGTGACAATGACTTTGCTGTGTTTGATGGGCATACACAGCATACACATGTGGTCAATGTCCATGAAAGAAATTGCTCATGTAGAGAATGGAACCTCACTGGAATTCCTTGCTCACACGCTCTTTGTGCATTAAGATTCAAGGATTGGAGTTTTGAGTACTTTGTTGATGAGTACTACAAAAAGGAAAAGTACCTTCAAACTTATGGGACAGCATTAGAATGCCTCAGAGGGAACGAAGTGTTGAGGAGGAGGCCAGAAGGAGGATGTTTGCCATTGGATATGAGATCAATGCCTGGGCGCCCTAGAAGGAATAGAAGAAGGGCAAAGGATGAGCCTTTGAAACTGAAGAAGGGGAAATTGACCAAGTTATCAAAGCATGGATCTGTGTACACTTGTAGTGTGTGTGGTGAACAAGGGCACAACAAAGCTGGATGTCCACAGAAAGACAAACAAGCAGGCCCTAGTCAAACCAAGGTAACTTTGCTATTGCACTTTATTTGTGCAACTTTATTTGTGCAATGTTACACTTTATTTGACATGTTAACTTTATTGAATGGTAGGTCAAGAAAACGGGTAAAAAGAGTTCAAATCCCACACAAAAACCAAAAGCAGCAAAAAAGAGCACAAAGGTTGGTAAAAAAGGTGATACTGTCTGTCTGGGAAGGGTCGAAGGAAGAACAAGAAAAGCAAAACGAAAGCTTAATGATAGTGTAAGAAAAAATAATAATATTTACTGTGTACAATTCCTTTTTTTTATTTCTGTTTATAGCTTTTTTTTTTATGTATAAGGTAATGAAATGTGCACCTTAATTTTTTCTATTCAGTTCATGGAGGCTGCTGGCATTGTCATCGATGAAGGCAGAGCGGAAGTGCAGAACAAACAGGGTTCGAAAGGAAAGGGAAAGGATAAGGCTTGAGAGAGCATGAAGGCTGTATTTTGTTTGGCATGACTACTTTTTTGTTTATTGGCAGTGTATACAGTTACTGATTTGGCCTTTAATGTTAGGCCTTAATGTTATACTCTTATTTATGTATGAAAAATGTATTTATGTGCTCGTGAACAATCATATTTTGGTATTATGCTGATGTGTTTCTGAACAACCTATTGGTGCTATGAAGTACAATGTTCTTTTGGTTCTTTTGTTTGTTACAAAATGTTTATCATCTGCTGTTATTTTACAGTTTTTAGGTTATCAAAAACCTAAGTATTTATTATTTATGTCTTGATTTACAAATAGCTTTACAAATGGAGAAGAGCCCTTTTTCCATTGCTGCATAACTTATTCAATTACATTACAATGGTTTATAGGCATGTTCTCAAAGCTTCCAAAATTTTGGTCATCACATATGACCACAAAACACCAAAAGAAGGGCCATACATTTACGCTTGAAACACCACCTACCCACTTAGAACAACACCCAAAACATCAAATACACAACCATTATAATAAAGACACCAAATACAATATGAACCATTAATTTTTTGAGCTCAACACCAACAGAGGCTGCAATTAAGACATCAAATTTCCTTTCAACAATATCATTCATAGCATTTGCCACAGTTTTCTCAATAATTTCATCAAATTTTTGTATGGTGTCCTCAGCTGTTGTAGAAATGGTGTGGCTTGACTCAACAACTGCACCTCCATTCACTCTGTTTCTTAATTGCCTTCTCAATACTGAATTTTCTGTTGTAAGAGCCTTTTTCTCGGTTATCAACAACTTTAGTAGCTCAATGGCTCTCTCATGGGACAATTCCAAGTCATGCCAAACAAAATACGGGCACTTTAAATCCTGTCATTAAACAACCTAAAAGTAGTAAATAAAAATTGGAAGAAAACAACAAACAACAGATAAGTAATATTACATTGGCTTAAGGCAGAACCCCAAATTTACCTCATTCAAGAAGTGCCGGCAACCATAAAATCGTCTCCCAATGCTCCATGGTCTCCATGAAGTCCACCTTGGTGCCTTGAAGCCACAATCACAGTACATTTGAGGACCTTCATAGTTGTGCTCAACCAACCCAACATCCCTCACAACTGTTCTCGCCATTGCACCATCACTTGCACCAGCAGAGGCTCGACCAGGTCCACCTCCAGAATTAGAGGAAGATTCCATGCGAATAAACTCACAAACACCCACAATCTTTTCCCCTCGACTAATTTCAAGAAGGAATTGCAGGAATGAGAGAAAGCCTTGTGGTATTGTGGTTTTGAATTGAAGAGAACCCTAACCCCCAACTTTGAAAACTCTGAACTAGGGCAAACAAGTTGGTCATCAAATATCGGTAAAAAATGAGATAAACAGTGGGACCCACCAATCATATTGTCAAACAAAGGGCGCGCAAATGACACGGTGTGTGAAAAAGAGCGGAATTGTTACACATCAGCATCCAGCGTGTGAAAAAACGACACGCTGGCACGAGCTAAACGGAGATCGTGACGGTGATGACATCACCCATTAAATAATGATTGATTTGACCAAATCGATACTTTAGGGGTGTCATTTGTCCCTACTTTTTTTAGAGGGGTGGATCCGTCCCTACCCATATTTGTCAGGGGGTGATTTGAGGGTTCTGCCTAAAAACCACATGCGCAGCCTCAAATTTTTAAAAAATCAAAACCGTCAAACAAACCAAAACACCTGAACTCACTGCGCATCCCGTGATATAGATTCGTAGAGGCTGTGAGAGAAGAAGAATAAAACACAGTTTATAAAAAGCAGAAGGCGCAGGTTCTAGAATGCATAAAACGCAGCTTAGAGAAATGTAATAGGCTAGCTTGGTTAGATGGGCCCTTACTGGAAGAAAATTAAGTAATTTGTGGATAGGTTTGTAAATGAGAATAAAAAAATTAAGATATTTCAATCTTAAAAATATTAATATTTTTTTTTTTTGAACATATTTGCAAGAGGCGGGTTTCGAACCCAGCCCGGGGAGGGGGGAATGCACCGGGGTGGCTATTGTCACTAGGCCGCAAGGGCAGGTA